CTTCTCCACCCTCCCAGTTTCATCCTGCACTGGCGGGTCAACGAGGCTTAAATCGCCCTTGCAGCCGATGCAGCCACCACAGGCTGGGTGGCGTTTGGCCTCGGGTGGTCCCGCCTCAAGTCCCAAACCCCTACATCACTCTCCACCCCTCTCCTCCCATTCCACCCCTCCCCAACCCAACCAGTTTCATCCTGCACTGGCGGGTCAACAAGGCATCAGTCTCTCTTGCAGCCGATGCAGCCACGACAGGCTGGGTGGCGCTCGGCTGGTCCCGCCTGGGCCGCATGGCTGGCAGCGACGCCGCCATAGGCAACCTGCCATACGGGGCAACGGGCCTGGGCATGCCGGCAGTGGGGGCGTTCTCTATCGGGGGTTACAGCCGGGAGTCCATCGGCCTGTCTGAGCTGTTTCGAGCCGCCAAGAGCGGCACTGTGACTGTCAACGGCAGGACTCTGATTTGGTACGTTTGGGATCAATGGCTTGAGCATGGGAATGGGAGCAACGGGCGTGGCCGATTTTTGAGTTGACTAAAAAATTGACTTGTCACGCATGGGCATGCCAGCAGTGGGGGCGTTTTCTATCAGGGGGTACAGCCGGGAGTCCATCGGCAAGTCTGAGCTGTTTCGAGCCGCCAAAAGCGGCACTGTGACTGTCAACGGCAGGACTCTGATTTGGTAAGCTGGGGTTAGATGAGTTGAGCATGGGCATGGGGCCAACGGGCATGGGCATGGGCACGGGCATGGGCACGGGCATGGGCACAGCCATAGGCAACATGCCGTACGGGGCAACGGGCATGGGCATGCCGGCAGTGGGGGCGTTTTGTATCGGGGGGTACAGCCGAGTCAATTGGTCTGTCTGAATTGCTCCAAGTCGTCAAAAGAAGCCCTGCGACTGTAAATGGAAGGACACTCGTATTGATGGGTTGAGCATGGGCATGGTAATGGGCATGGGCACTGAGACGCACTGCCATAGGGAACCTGCTGTACTGGTTTTGGAGAATTCTCAAAAGCCACTGAGACGCACTGCCATAGGGAACCTGCCGTACTGGTTTTGGAGAATTCTCAAAAGCCACTGAGACGCACTGCCATAGGGAACCTGCCGTAACGGAAAAACTCTCAAGCATCCCTCTTGCCTCTATCCTCCTGTCTTGGGAGCTTCTTAAAAACTCTCGAATCTCGCTCTTGCCTCTATCCTCCTCCCTTCACCTGCTCCCCACTGCAGGTTCGAGCGTGTGTTTGGAGCGGGCATGAACCCGATGCACGAGAACGGGTTAGCCAACCTCATATGGGCGTATGCAGGGGATGGGTCTCAGAACCTGGAATTCCACATGCAGAACAGGTGCGTGCGTGCGTGTGTGACATGTGTCACTGCGTACGTATTTGCACATATGCATATGCATGAATTTACACATAGTAGCACATTTTTCATCTAAAGAGAAACCTTGATTGTGCTAAAAAAAACTTATTCGCCCCTCGATTTCACTCACCCCTCTTTCTCCTCTTTTCCACTTCCTCCCCTCTTCCTTCCTTCTCCCCTTGCTTTCTTCACCTCTCGTTTTGCCTCACCTCTCTTCACCGCACTCCACCTCTCTGCACCTACCATTTCAGGGGCGCAACTGTCATCGACATCATAACAGGGGACTCCAAACACTCCTCCCCTTCCTCCTCCCCACCATCCTCCTCTTCCTCCCCACCTGTTTCCTCCTCCCCCCCGTCCTCCTCCTCCCCCTCCACCTCTCCTTCGTCATCCCCTTCCCCTTCCTCCTCCTCCTCGTCCTCCTCCTTCCCTTACCCCACCACCTCCCCCTCTCCCTCCCCCTCCTCCTCCACGCTGGTAGCCCATGCTGTTTTCCTGTCTCTCGCCTTCTTCCTCCTCATGCCCTCTGCCATCCTCATCGCCCGCCTCTTCCTCTCAGGCCCCCCGTCACTCCCCTTCCTCCCCCACCATGCCTCCTCGCACGATCCTGATGCTGGGTCCAGTGGGTCAGACCCATCTGAAATGGCATCTGGGCTGATCCAAAATCACCAGCAGCAGCAGCAGCAGTATGATTCCGCCACCACCAGCACCACCAACGCCCCCTCCTCTTCCTCCTCCTCCTCCTCCTTCCGTCCCGCCGCTCCTCCTGACGCATCCCCTCCTCTCTCCCCCCCACTCTCCCCAACCACCAGCGCATCCCTCCTTCAACCCCACCCCTTCCTGCCCTCTCTCTCCTTCCTCCCCAACCTCCAGCTCCACGCCCTCTCCTACCACCAATACCTCAACCTCTCCGCCCTCCTCTGCTGCCTCCTTGGCTGCACACTCGCGTTCGCAGCCGTCGGATCGGACGGCCTGGCCCAATCGCACGGTCAGATGGGCCTGGTGGTGCTGCTGCTGGTGCTGGTGCAGCCGGTGTTGGGGTTTCTGCGGCCGGACAAGGGAGCTAGTAACAGGCTGTCATGGCGGTTTGCGCATGGGCTGCTGGGGTTGGCAGTGTTGGGCATGGGGTGGGCCAACGCCTTCTCTGGCTTGAAACTCTATGGCATCATCTTCTTCTCGTCTGTTCAGGTCAGTGTTGAGGGCAGTGGGGGGTTATAGTAGTGGGGGTGTAGGGGTCTGTAGGCTCAGAGGGTCTGTTGCTAGGGTTGGCAGTGCTGGGCATGGCGTGGGCCAACGCTTTCTCTGGCTTGAAGCTCTACTCTCTCATCTTCTCGTCTGTCACGGTATGTGTGTAGGGGTTTGTAGGGGTTTCTAGGGGTTTGTAGGGGTTTCTGGGTTTGCTCATGGCCTGCTGGGGCTGGCAGGTATGGGATGGGTCAGTGTGGGTCGCCTTTTCTTCACATTCCACCTTTCCTTATCCAAATCCCGCTGTGCTTCACTCCTTGTCCAACCTCCCGCAAGCAGGTATGGAACACGTCTCAAGAGTCATTCCTCCTCTCTTTAATGCTGTGCTTCACCCCCCCTAATTCTGTGCTTGCCCAACCAATCCCACAAACAGGCTTGGAACATTTTATTCGGAATGACTGCAGCAGTGCTCGCTATAGTGTACCTCGGTATTGTTGTAATGCAATTCACACAGGGCCACTCATCTCGAGCGCTCAGCTACCAAATAGAGCTTTAGACAGTAGTGTACATTGCGCACACTGTGAGCCGCTTCGTTATCAAGGTACATGGTCTTCATAATGTCTGGTTTTACATGCTGTGGCAAGTAGTTCAACAACCTAATCTCTTTAAGTTGGCTTGATTGCACTTGCTTAGGCACCTTGCCGAACAGGAAAATGCAATTGCATGTGGTGTGGTCATATGTCATGGTTTAGCTATGAAATTAGCTGTACAACAATCAGAATGCAGCAACCGTTCGGATTAATATACTTCCATAAGCGGGTTAACATTTGCTGGCCAGGGGCCAACTTTCGAAGGTCCATCCAACCCAGGTCAACCCAAGTCAAACCTAGTCAAACCCTCAAATTCCCACACACCATTCTCCCTCTAATCATCATCACCATCCCCATCCCTATGGGCCCCCCGCCTCCTCCCCACCCCATCGCCCATGGCCACCACCAGAAGCCTGAGCGCGGCTTAGCAGGTGGCGCAGCGGGTGAACCAGCGCCTTCCTCGCTGTGCCATGCCATGCCACCATCCATCCCTCTCTGATCATCATCCCCCACTCCCAGCATGATGCATCTGTGTCACCAACCAACATAAGGTGATCATCACCATCCCCATCCCTTCCCTCCCCCTCCCCCCCCAATTCGCCTGGGCCACCACGGGAAGCCGGAGCAGGACTTAGCAGGTGGCACGTGAGCCAGCACCTTCCTTGCTGTGCCATGCCACCATCCATCCCTCTAATCATTTTTTGAGGCGCCTCAAAAGGCTTAGCAGGTGGCACGTGAGCCAGCACCTTCCTTGCTGTGCCATGCCACCATCCATCCCTCTAATCATTTTTTGAGGCACCTCAAAAGGCTTAGCAGGTGGCACGTGAGCCAGCACCTTCCTTGCTGTGCCATGCCACCATCCATCCCTCTAATCATTTTTTGAGGCACCTCAAAAGGCTTAGCAGGTGGCACGTGAGCCAGCACCTTCCTTGCTGTGCCATGCCACCATCCATCCCCTCTATGATCATCATCCTCACTCCCATCCCTTCCTCCTCCTCCCCCCCCACCCTGCCTGGGCCACCACAGGAAACTTTTGAGTCGACTCAAAAGTCACCAAAGTCTCCTCCTCCCCCACCCCGCCTGGGCCACCACAGGAAGCCGGAGCGGGATCTAGTGAGTGACACGTGAGCCAGCAGCGCCTTCCTTCCCATGCCTCCATCCATCCCTCCTAATCACAATCCCCATCCCCGTCCCCCCCTCACTCCCCCTCCCAGCACGATGCATGTGCCGCGGCCACCACCAGCAGCTGACACGTGAGTCAGCCCCTTCCGTGCCGTGCCACCATCCATCCCTCCTACCTAATCATCATCCCCATCCCCATCCCTTCCTCCTCCTCCCCCACCCCGCCTGGGCCACCACGGGAAGGGGGAGCGGGACTTAGCAGGTGCCGTGCGGCAGGAGAAATCAACAGAGAGGCGACCACTGGGGGAGGGGGGGGGGGGGAAGGGGAAGAAGGAACAAACAGGGGAAGGGGGAGCGGGACTTAGCAGGTGCAGTACGGCAGGAGAAATCAACAGAGAGGCGACCACTGGGGAGGGGAAGGAGAGCGGAGGGGAAGAGAGGGGTCAAACAGGAGGGAAGAGGGTTAGGGATGGTGTGAGGGTGGGAAGAAAAGGGGAAGAGGGGGCAGGGGAAAGGGTAAGAAAGTTGGTGCAGGGTGCGCGTGGTGTGTAGTGGAGAAAACAAACACAACAGCGGCCACCGGGAAATTTTGATAATCATACTCGTTATACACACATTCGACACACTCAGTAGTTGCTTCCGTGTGACCCCACTGTGTTTGATCCAGACGAGGAATAAGCCCAGACGAGCTTGTTCTCTGATGTAGCTCTAGACTCATACTCGTTAAAAGCAGACCCATTACACTCACTAGTTGCGTCCGTGAGACCCCAGTGTGTTGGATCCGGAGGAGGAATAAGCCCAAATGAGGCTGTTCTTCCCTGATAGCTTGAACTTGTTGGACCATCCTGTCTTGTCTGTGCGCGTGAACCTGGTGGGGGGGAGTGTGGGAGTGAGAGAGTGAGTGGGGAGTGAGTGAGAGAATGAGTGAGAGGGCAGGGGAGGGGAATAGATGACAAGTAAGCCCAGATGAGGTTGTTCTTCCCCGATAGCTTGAACTTATTCGACCATCCCGTTTTGTCTGTCTGCGTGAACCTAGTGGGGATTGTGGGAGTGAGTGAGAAAGCGAGGGTGGGAGGATGAGTGGGAGGGGTGAGGGGGAGAATAAAGCCCAGACGAGGCTGCTCTTCCCTAACAGCTTGAACTTACTCGACCACCCTGTGTTGTCTGTGCGCGTGAACCTGGTGGGGGGGGGGGAGAGAATGCGGGAGCGAGCGAGAGAGAGTGAGAAAGGAGAATAAGCCCATGTGAGGCTCTTCTTCCCAAATAGCTTGAACTCATTTGACCATCCCGTTCTGTCTGTGCGCGTGAACCTGGTGGGAGGGAGTGGGAGGGAGCGAGGGAGTGAGAGAGTGAGTGGGGAATGAGTGAGAGGGGAGGGGAGGGGAATGGACGAGGAATAAGCCCTTATGAGGTCGTTCTTGCCCGATAGCTCAAGGGTCATATTTGTTATAGGCACACTCACTAGTTGCGTTCGTAAGACCCTAGTGTGTTGGATCCTGACGAGGAAGAAGCTCGATATTCTTATGAGGTTGCTCTTGCCGGATAGCTTTAACTTGTTGGACCATGTCGAGGCCGTTGGGAAGGGAAGGGAAGACACTATGAGGCTAGGAAGGAACGCACCTCATGATAATCGACCTTTGAGGCGACTCAAAAGTCACCTGGCTAGGAAGGAACACACCTCATGATAATCGACCTTTGAGGCGACTCAAAAGTCACCTGGCTAGGAAGGAACACACCTCATGATAATCGAGCCTCCTTCAGTCTTGGTGCTCGCCCCACTCCCGATGTCGAACCCGTCCCTTGACAGCGAATCGCTCAAGTATCCCGGCACCTTATACGTGAATCTCCCCGTTGTAGAGGTTCCCAAAGCCAACCCAAAACTGCAGAGCTCCAGAAACAGGAAGACAATTACCCACCTCATAATGATCGACCCTCCTTCCGTCTTGGTGCTCGCCCCACTCCCGATGTCAAACCCGTCTCGCGACAGCGAGTCACTCGAGTATCCCGGCACCTTGTACGCATAGATCTCCCCGCCGTAAAGGTTCCCGATAACTGCATCGGAGGGGACCATTCGGCCACTGGGGTTGCTCCAAGCCAGGGAGATCCATCCGTCTTTGGCGGGACTACTGGATTTTGCCTCCACTGCCATTTCGACCTGCTTCCCTGCTGCTTCCTTCCAGTGCAAAAGCAGGCTGGGAGAGGTTGAGGTGAGGGGGAAAGGGAGGGGGAGAGGAGGAAGGAAGTGATTGGGGCTGGTCTAGGCCAACGTGGCAGTTGCTGAATCACCCCGCCGTAAAGGTTCCCAACAACGGCATCGGAGGGCACCATTCGGCCACTGAGGTTGCTCCAGCCCAGGGAGATCCACCCGTCCACTGAGGTTGCGGGATTCCTGGTTCTGCTTCCACTGCTATGTCTACTTGCTTCCCTGCCGCTTCTTTCCAATGTAAGAGCAGACTGTAAGAGAACGAGAGGGGAGGACGACAGGGGAGAAAGCTGGGCAAGGGTGGGGGTGGGGGCAGGCCAGGGACATCCATCCATCCATCTTTCGCTGGGCTTCCGGATTTGGCTTCCACTGCCATTTCGACTTGCTTCCCTGCTGCTTCCTTCCAGTGCAGGAGCAGACTGCAGGAGGGTGACAGGGTAGAGAGACAGTGGGGGAAGCGGGGGAAGGGGAAGAATGCAATGGTATCCTTACAGAATCGACTTCTTGCAGCTCTGCCTGGGTGGGGAAGTGGAGGGGCGAGGGGCGAGGGGCGGGAGGGCTACAATATCAGGCGGGTGAGGAGTGTAGGCACACATATCAGCTTCGTTAACATCACACCTCTCTTATAACACATCACACCTTTCCATAGGGACACACCCCTCAGCTTCGTTACAAACAAATCTCATATAACGACGCCCAATCCTCACCTACTGTCTTGCAGGCTGGTCTGGTAGTTGTAGCCTTGCAGAGTCGACTTCTTGCAGCTCTGCCCGGGCGAGGCGGAGAAGGGTTGGTTGGGCACTGCCCTTAAGATCACATTCATAATAACAGCGTCTCTGCTTTCATACAATCACACCTACCACGGTAACATCTCACCTGCTACCCTGCAGGCTCGTCTGGTAGGTGTAGCCTTGAATAGTCGACTTTTTGCAGCTCTGCCCAGCCGCCGAGGTAGGGCGGGGGTCGGGCGGGGGAGCAGGGGCACTACGTCCCCATAGGGACACCCCTCAGCTTCGTTACAGTCACATCTCATAAAACCACGCCCACGCCTCACCTGCTGCCCTGCAGGGTCGTCTGGTAGGTGTACCCTTGAAGGGTCGACTTCTTGCAGCTCTGCCCGGCCGCCGAGGTAGGGCGGGAGACGGGCGGGGGAGCAGAAGCGTCGCAGGAGAAATCAATCTGCGATGATCCTCTGGGGGAGTTTGGGGGGGGTGGGGGGGGGGAGCGGTGAGGGGAAGGGGAGGGGAGGGGGAGAGAGAAGGGGAAGGGGAAGATTTGGGTCGGGAGGTTGTGTGGGTTGCAGAGACGGAGGAAACGGGGACAGATCAAATGTCACTCGGGGATTCGGAAGGGTGTGGGTGAGTGATTTTCCCGGCCAGGAGGAGGAGGGGCGGGGTATGAGACAGACAGATGGGATGCAGGTTCAGGACACAGGTTCGGAATGCAGGTTCGGGACACAGGTTCGGAATGCAGGTTCGGGACACAGGTTCGGAATGCAGGTTCGGGACACAGGTTTGGGGGAACGTACTTGTTGCTGTCGTGGGATCCGAGGACTCTGGTGCCGTCTGCTGCGTACGCCCACGTGATTATACCGAAGCCCTTTATACTGAAGGGCACGACTCCGCCGTTGTTCTCGAAACGAGAGAACCTGGAGGGGACAACAGGAAGACAAATTCGTCTTTTTGGAAAAATACTCTGCTGCTACACTCGAAAACCAATCATGTCCAAGTTAGGAGAGTACAGTAAACATCGACACATAACATGTCTTTGTTTCGATAAGAAGCATCCTATTAGATAATCACTCACTTCATTATAACGGAGCTCCCGCTGCGCGATAGACTCGCCTTCCCCAGCTGGATATCATTCGTCCGCCGAACCGCGCTCGCGTCGTGCCCGGTCATGCTGTACGCGGCGACCGCAGCGCGCTGCTGATTACCCACCACCGCGTCGCCGGGATACATCGCGCCGCTCTGCGACCAGCCCACGGAGAACCAGCCCTTCCCGGGTAGCGCCTGCGACGCCGCCGTCTGATTCTCCGGCGACGACGAGGCGACTCGCCGCGCTTCGACGGCGATCTGAAGCTCCGACGTGTTTTTGGCGGGAATCCAGTGGATGGTGAGGCTGGGAGGGGAGGACGTTTGGGGGGGAAGGTGGGGTGATGGGTTTGTCGGGGGCAACAAGGAAAATTCAGTTTTTGAAGCTCCGACGTGTTTTGTGGGGGAATCCACTGGATAGTGCGGCAGACTCTGAGGGAGGAGAGGAGAGGTAAGGGGGCAGGGGCAACAGGTGCCGTTTGAGAGTTCTCAATAGCGCTTCGACGGCGATTTGAAGCTCCGGCGTGAGTTTGGCGGGGATTCAGTGGATGGTGCGGCTGGGAGGGGGGAGGGTCGGCGGAGTGGGGGAAGGGGGGGAAGGGGGGGTGAAGGGGGAGTGGGGGAAGGGGGGGTAAAGGGGTAGTGGGGGGCAACAAGAAGATTTCTGGCAGACGGACGGATACCCTTCGGACGTACCACTGCAGGGTGTTTCTGAGAATTCTCAAAACATGTTGCAGGGTGCAACAATACGGACAGATACCCTCCGGACGTGCCGCCGCCAGAGCTCCACATTTTCGAGATCTGACCGAACAAACCGCGAACTCGCTTCGAGATCCCAAGTTTGTAACGAGGCTCGCCGAGAAGAGAAATGAAGAAGCAGGGGGTACAGAATACAAATTCTCAGTACTGGCCGTCACGGAACACGTATTTTGGGCCGCCTCGAAATTCGTGTTACATTCTTACCCCTCAGTTAGCTGGAAAGACGACGTGTAGCCGGGAAGAGTTGAATTCTGGCAGACGGACGGATACCCCTCGGACGTGCCGCCGGAGCTCCACATTTTCGAGATCTGACTGAAGAAATCGCGAACGCTCTTCGATATCTGATCCGTGTAGCCGGCGCCTTCCGCAGATCCCGTGAGAAGCAGCAGCAGGAGAAGCGGCAGCGATATCAGCAGCTTGGAACGGCGTGAGAATGCCATGAATTGTAGTACAAGCACTAGTCACGAAATTTTCTTGTGGGGGAGGGAGCAGGGGGGAGAGACTGCTACCAGTTTTTACTTCTTGTCGAAATCTACTTTGTGAAATCTTAGTAGCAGTGAAATATGCAAGAGATATACGAACGATTAGCCAATCTTGACTCCAATTTGAACATATTTAGGGGGAACGTCACCAACTAGTGGAGATTACGCTGGGGCGGCGGCATATACTAAACACAGCATAGCACTATGTGAGAGGAAGACCAGCTGGGGCACAATTGAGTTTCCCTAAGGAAGATCCATCTGCTCCATCGGTTTCAGTTATCTCGCCCCATCTGGCGGCCCCATTCGGATCATTCCAGTACGGTCCGTTAGCTTTATCCACGTTTTGTTCTTTGGTTATCCGTGGTTGAGCAGGGTTGTGATGTGTCCACAGAAATTGTGACCTGCCTTGAGAACTGAAATTCGACCAAAGTCTCCGAGCCGCACATTGTGACCCACGCGCGGGGGATGGTAATTCTCGGATCGCCCTGGCTGTCGCGACTCGCGATCGTTTTTGGGAGAACCACCAGTAGGGCGACAGAAACTGTCGTAAACTGATTTGCTTGGCGTCGCTCAATGAAAGATACCTCTAGCATCCACCGACCAGATGGGCTCGCACGACTGTTGCGCCAACCTTTCGAGTCGTTCGTTCCCCCAAGCACCAACTCGAGCAAAGACCAATCAGTTACGACTGCCGATGTTTTTACATTTGTTACGAGTGCAATTGAGTGGCCGAACGAGAATTGCACTATCAAAGGAAGAGTACAATCAGCGAAGGCATGAGCGAAGGATTATATAGCGAAACTGCGGTGGTAACGGTAATGGACTGTGGTTGTCGCGCGACAGGCCTGGGACTGAGGTTGGGAAAAGTGTCGAGGCGGAGGCCCGGAGCGCGGGTTACCCGTCGAGCCGTGAGGTCGGGGTGCGACGTGCGAAAGTGGCGGGCGGATTGTCGATGCAAGGGGGGCGAGTGGTAACGGTGCTGACTGTGGTGCTACAGTGATGTACGCGTTGAGCAGAACCAAGTCGGAGATTTTGGGTGTCGAGCAGAACTAAGTCGTCGGGCTGGTAAGTGACAGGTCTGCGGTGGCGGTCGGCGTTGCGTTTAGCGATGATGTTAGCCTTTTTAATCGCGTCTGCTGCCCTGATCCGAGCCGCTTGCAAAATTTCGGCGAACTGTTGCGCACGTGGGACCGGGTTGTCGGGATTCGGGGTCATGGGTGTTAAACTGTATTATGCTTGTAGGCTGTAGTGGGGTAGCTAATATGGGGTACAACCCCAACTAGGGTTTCATATTTGTACCCAAACTTCTGTTAGTTCATCCATTCTTGCCTAGTGATTCTGAAATGGTATTCAGAGCAGGAGGTCCCTAGGACCTACCGACCGTTTTTTAAGGGCCCACCACCGCTCGCATGCGGTTACCACGCTACCCCGTGCCCTAGCCTCGTAGCGCCCTCGTGCGCCCTCGTTAGCGCCCTCGCGCGCCCCTCGTTAGCGCCCTCGCGCGCACCCTCGTTAGCGCCCTCGCGCGCCCCTTCGTTAGCGCCCTCGCGCGCCCCTTCGTTAGCGCCCTCGCGCGCCCCTTGCTAGCGCCCTCGCGCGCCCCTCACTAGCGCCCTCGCGCGCCCCTCGCCGAGCCGCCCGCTCGCAGCCCGCCCGCCCGCTCGCTGCCCGCTTCGCGGCCCGCCCGCTACGCAGCCCGCCCGCCCGCTCGCTGCCCGCTTCGCGGCCCGCCCGCTTCGCAGCCCGCTCGCTCGCTGCCCGCTTCGCGGCCCGCCCGCTTCGCAGCCCGCTCGCTCGCTGCCCGCTTCGCGGCCCGCCCACTTCGCAGCCCGCCCGCCCGCTCGCTGCCCGCTTCGCGGCCCGCCCGCCTCGCAGCCCGCTCGCCCCGCTGCCCGCTTCGCGGCCCGCCCACTTCGCAGCCCGCCCGCCCGCTAGCTGCCCACTTCGCGGCCCGCCCGCTTCGCAGCCCGCTCGCCCCGCTGCCCGCTTCGCAGCCCGCCCGCCCGCCCGCTGCCCGCTTCGCGGCCCGCCCGCCTCGCAGCCCGCTCGCCCCGCTGCCCGCTTCGCAGCCCGCCCACTTCGCAGCCCGCCCGCCCGCTAGCTGCCCGCTTCGCGGCCCGCCCGTTTCGCTGCCCGCTCGCAGCGCCGCCCGCTCGCCCGCTACCTGCTTCGCAGCGCCGCCCGCTACCTGTGCACTGCCGCTTTCTCCTGTCCCCTCTGCTGCTGCCGCTGCTCTGCTGTGCCCTCACGCCTGAGCTATGGCCTCTATTCGCGTTCTTTCCTTCGATGCTGAGGGCCGTCCCGTGCAGTTCACTTCCTGGCTCGACGACCTGCAGTTGTATCTTATGAGCAATAGCACGGACCACATCTCCCTCTATGACTACGCGTCTGGTGCTGCCGCTGCTCCTGCTGCCACAGCCGAGCTTAGTGTCCGTTCCCACTGGCAGACTCGTGACGCAGCTGCTCGCCTAGCCATTCGCAGTCACCTCCCGCTAGCTGAGCTAGAGCATTTTGGCGACTGCAAATCCGCTAAGGCCCTGTACGACGCTGTCGTCGCTCGCTACTCCTCGCCTGCCACAGCCGAGCTTAGCCGCCTCATGCTGCCGTACCTGTTCCCCGATCTGTCCACCTTTACTACAGTCGCCGATCTTATCACCCACCTTCGCACTAGTGATGCTCGCCTGCGTGCCGCCCTTCCCACCGAGTTCTGCGCTAAGAACCCCCCTCCACTGTACTGGACACTCCACTTCATAGTCACCCGTCTCCCTGACACCCTCCGCTCAGTTCGAGACCACTTCCTTGCTCGCTGTCCCACTGAGCTCACAGTCGCCCTCCTAGAGGAGCACCTGCTCGCGGCCGAAAAGAGCATTGTAGCTGTCGGTGCTGCTCGTGGCGCTCCTCGCACCCCCATCTTTGAGGGGTGTTCTCCCTCTCCCCTCGCTCCCTCCTACGCTGCTGCTGCTGCTGTTGACTTCCTTGGTGCTGAGTCTGTTGGCGCTGCTTCTACTCCTGGTGGGAGGCGCCGCACCGGCAAGGGCAAGGGGGGCAAAAGTGGTGGTGGTGGCGCTGGGGGGGGAGGAGGTGGGGGAGGTGGGGGGGGAGGCGGTGCTGGAGGGAGCGGTGGCGGGAGCGCTGGTGGGAGTGGGGTCGGTGGTGGAGGCGGGGGCGGCGGAGGAAGCAGTGGCAGTAGTGGCGGTGGCGGCGGCGGCGGTGGCGGCGGTGGCGGTGGTGGCGGTGGCGGTCGGAGCGGTGGTAGTGGTGGCGGCGGAGGTCGGAGTGGAGGCACTGGCTCGGGCCAGAGCTCCCAGCAGCAGCAGCGTCCCCAGACGACCCAGCAGCTTCGTGAGTGGCTTGCTCAGCGTGGGACGTCGGGGGCCAGTGCCCGCTGTTCTTATGTCATTCGCACAGGTGACCGCAAGGGACAGACGTGTGGGAGGTTCCACACCCCGTACCGCTGCTTCTCCCGCCTTGACGACGCTTGGCGTGAGGAGATGGGTGCGGATGTTGAGCGCCCCCGCTGGGCTGAGCTCATGAGGGCTGGTGTTGATGTCTTTGCTCTTGACTATGATGCTATTATTGCTGCCATGTATGCATTGACTGTTAGTGCCGAGGGAGACTGTTACTTGTGTGTGCCGCCTGACCCAGGTATAGAGCCCGCTGCCCTGGGTACTAGTGAGTCTGCTCTCTCTGGTATGGTGCCCCCTGTACTTGCTCCCTCCAGTACTGTCCCGGCTGGTTTCGAGTCTGCTCTCTCAGGTACAGCACCCACAGAGACTCCTCTCTCAGGTACCGCACCGGCTGAGGCCTGTCACACCTTCACCCTTGACTCAGGTGCTTCCCGTTGCTTCTTCCGTGACAGTACTGAGCTCACACCGCTTCCTGCACCGGTCCCAGTCTCCTTGGCTGACCCCTCTGGGGGCCCAGTCCTTGCCCAGTCCACCACTGTCCTCCCTTGTCCGGCGGTTCCGTCTGGCTCGTTGTCGGGTTTCCACCTCCCCTCGTTCTCGACGAACCTGGTGAGCAACGCTGTCCTCCAGGATCAGTGGGTTGACACCTTTACCCCTGGCGGACAGCGTGTGGCGATCTGCACGTGCTCCAGGACCGGCCGTCACCTGGCTACGTTCACCCGTCGGCCGGGGTCGAGTCTCTACACACTGACCACTGCGTCTCCCCAGGTAGCTGCTGTCGGTCAGGTGTCTGCGTCAGGTCTGGTGGCCCACGCCTGTGAGTGTCGTTCCCTGTCGCACCAGACTCTTCTCTGGCACCACCGCCTGGGTCACCCCTCCTTGCCACGCCTTCGTGGCATGCACCGTCGCCTCCTTGTGTCCGGTCTTCCCAGGTCCCTCCCTCCCCTCCCTGCCTCGCCTGCGCCGCCTTGCCTTCCTTGCGTCGAGGGGCGGCAGCGCGCCGCTCCTCACTCCTCCTCGTTCCCCCCGACAGAGGCTCCTCTGCAGACCCTCCACCTGGACGTGTGGGGCCCAGCCCGCGTTCGTGGTCAGGGCGGTGAGCGGTACTTTTTGCTGGTTGTCGACGACTACTCGCGTTACACCACGGTCTTCCCCTTGCGCACCAAGGGTGAGGTCCCTGCTGTTCTGATCCCTTGGATCCGCACGGTTCGTCTCCAGCTCCGCCGCCGTTTCTGGACGGATCTTCCTGTCCTGCGTCTGCACTCTGACAGAGGTGGTGAGTTTTCCTCCGATCTCTTGAGGACCTTCTGTCAGGCGGAGGGCATCGAGCAGACCTTCACGCTTCCGGACTCCCCACAGCAGAATGGGGTTGCTGAGCGCCGCATTGGCCTGGTCATGGAGGTCGCTCGT